ATGTTTGTTATGTAAAATAACAAAAATCATCAAAATATAAGAAAATAATGTACATACAATATGAAACAATTGAAATAAGTTTTTGATATAAAGACAAATTAAATACACAAAAAAAACACCATAATATAAGTAACATAATACTGCGTGTGCACATGCCAAAAGGGCCTCCACCTCAGCATATAGAGGTAGTTGAGCATTCCTGCCCAACGCTGATTTTCAGGTGGCACCCTGCAGTGACTCACGGACGGCATTTCAAAATCAATTAACTCGTCGAGTACCGTCATTATAGACACAATTATAGAACAATAGGTTGCGGTCACCGGTGACCGCTTTGTGTTTGACAGTTTAATGGAAGTGTTATTTTTTTTTTTAATATTTTACTGTATTGAACAGTCGAACTAATTTATTTTTGATTAAGGAAACTACCGAATTGAGCTGATTGTAAACCGACACATGCGTACTGCCTTCAGAACGTGTCCGCCCAAACTGTTGTGGTTCTTTCCTCAAAAGGCCACTACAGAAAGAACTGGCACGGTTTTCACACATAATCTGTTATACATATTGTCTGGACTTTAAAAGAGACAGACCTCTGAGTTTGTTTCGGCATTTCTTCTCAGAGTAGTCAGTTAGGAAATATCGGCCTCATCGTTCGCTTGATAAAATTGACGTGTAAAAGTGCTGCCTTGTAGCCTATTTGCAGAAATAAATTCACTTGTTTCGGTAAACCTGAACCTTGTATACTGCGATTTCCAACCTGCCTACCTACTAATATTCTGACAAACCCCTCTTATGTAGAGGAGGCTCTATGCTCATACTCAGCAGTAGACGGCCATCTCATTGATGACGAAACCATTCTACCATGCGTGGAGATGTTATCCGGAGCCGCGTAGGACGTAGTGGGTTACCGGGGCTCCAGCTCGAAGTGCAGGTGTAGGAACGAGGTGGTTTTTAGTCAGTAAGAGTCTGACTCGACTTGCTCAATTCAAGGTGTAGATTCCTATGGAGAAGAACGAGCAAGAAACTCCATTTTTTTTAAGGGGTTAAAAATCATCTAATGATTGCTCCCGCCTGGGTGAGGCGGGAGGGAGTGTCAGACTCTTACTGACTAAAACCACCCCGTTCCTTCTCCTGCACGTCGAGTCGGAGTCCCGGTTACCCGTTAGGTTCTCCGCGACAAGAAACTCCATAGGTTACTCTTTTTCAATCAGGTTCACAATACAATATTCTAGTTACATAGTTTTGTTGGTTCAATGATTGATCTATAGTTGATGCTCCTAACGATGATGAATAATAAACGACATTTTATTTTCAGATTGACTCAGCATTCTCAATGACTCCGTTCTCGGATGACTTCGTCAGCGGTTCAGTGAACTCCGTCCATAAAGGAGACGAGAATAATCGAGGCGTCTATGTTAATCTAACTATTTTGGTGAGGAAATATGATTTATCTTTTAATCATACCAAAACTGCCTCATTGGCCGAATGGTCGCAAGTGCGACTGCCGGGCAAGGGGTCTCGGGTTCGATTCCCGGGTCGGGCAAACTATTACTGGGATTTTCAAAAATTCACAGTAGTAGCACGGAGTCTGGAATTGTGCCCGGTATATGGCAATAGGGTCACCCCCTATTACATGTGACTCATAACATAAATAGTGAAAAGTGGGTGTTACATTGTATAGTGGCATAATGTGCACCTCTGCCTACCCCAAGGCGTGATGTTATGTTATGTTATTTTTTCGTACTTTGTTATTGTTAACAAAATATTCGAACTATTAGCGTAAACAGTTAAAATGATTAATCCTTTAACAGATGCAAGAAACAGCAGAGACCCTCCGACCCCAAGTGGGGTCTGACATACAGAAGCACCTGCTGGGGGTCATCCGCAGGCGGTCCAACAACGTGGGCGCCTCCGCGCTCTACGTCGACACCCCCGCCGGCAGTGTACTGCCTTTACATGGTCAGTTCATTACATTTCTTGGTAGACTAATATAGCGCGCGCGCCTCTCCTACACACGGGTAAATATTGTAATAGAAATATTGTGTTCAATCAAATAAAGAGCGGGTTGCAAACTTGAAAATATACGTCACAGAAAAAATATCCAATCGGTTCGCGTTTCTCGTACACCCGTGTGTACAATTGCGCGATGGACACTCAACTCTCTCGTACACCCGTGTGTATAATTGCGCGATGGGCACTCAACTCTCTCGTACACCCGTGTGTACAATTGCGTGATGGGCACTCAACTCTCTCGTACACCCGTGTGTACAATTGCGTGATGGGCACTCAACTCTCTCGTACACCCGTGTGTACAATTGCGTGATGGGCACTCAACTCTCTCGTACACCCGTGTGTACAATTGCGCGATGGGCACTCAACTCTCTCGTACACCCGTGTGTACAATTGCGTGATGGGCACCCAACTCTCTCGTACACCCGTGTGTACAATTGCGTGATGGGCACTCAACTCTCTCGTACACCCGTGTGTACAATTGCGCGATGGGCACTCAACTCTCTCGTACACCCGTGTGTACAATTGCGCGATGGGCACTCAACTCTCTCGTACACCCGTGTGTACGAAAAACACGCGAGAGGATAAATGAACATCCTTTCTCTTCCCGTGGGCATCATATACCCGACTTTAAGCAAACAAATCTATCTTTGCAGAATAAAGAACTAAGTGTTTGACAGAGACTGGAGATAGTAGAATATAAATTCACCATCCTTGCTCTTCCAGTGGGTATCGTATACCCAACTAAAAGACGAATACTTGACTCGAGCATCAGTTCTATGATAAACCTGAAACCTTAAACTGCGATGTCCAAACTATTGAATATTTTCAATGTAATTTCAATTATTATTGTTTCCAGATGTGGATGAATGCTCCACCTCAGACCTGAACGACTGCCATCAGTTCGCTACCTGCACTAACACTTGGGGAGGCTTCAAGTAAGTACCAAGCATGATTTTTGATATTAAATTATTAAATAAAGACAAAGCCGTGCAACGTGTCGCGGGTTCGACTCCCGCACGGAACAACACTTTGTGTGATCCACAGATCGTTGTTCCGGGTCTGGGTGTCATGTGTATGTGAACTTGTATGTTTGTAAACGTACACACGACACAGGAGAAAATCCTAGAGAGTAGCTCTCTAATAGTTTCTTCTGTGTTCTTAAAAATATTAAAAAAGTTATAAATATCATATATATATATATCTTTGAAGATCGTCACAGTCTGCTATAAATGACAAACAAAACCAGACCCATTCTGACACAGGCACGCAATGTCATAACAATACCACCATTTTTATTTGTAGTCTATACCTGACAAGCGGTAAAGATATTAACAAAAATACACATTTCTTTCGCTGTATTCAATAAAAACAAGTATATTTCAACTTTTCTTTCTTCGCTCAGATGTCAGTGTTCAGAGTCCACCCTGGACGCGTCCAGCTCTCCCCTGAAGGCCGGCAGGGAGTGCAGGGCGTGTGCCTCCTCGCACTGCAACGACAGGGGAGCCTGCAAGTATACCAACGGACAACCTTACTGCAGGTTAGTAACATAACATAACATTACGCCTTTTATCCTCAAAGGGGTAGGCAGAGGTGCACATTATACCACTGTACAATGTAACACCCACTTTTCACTATTTATGTTATGAGTCCCATGTAATAGGGGGTGACCCTATTGCCATATACCGGGCACAATTCCAGACTCCGTGCTACTACTGAGAATTTTTAAAAAACCCAGTAATACTTTGCCCGACCGGGGAATCGAACCATAGACCCCTTGCCCGGCAGTCGCAATTGCGACCACTCGGCCAACGAGGCAGGTAGTATATGTATAAATAATTTTTAAATCGATTTCAAAAATAAGCTTCTATATGATTGGTGTACCTCACCTGTGTGGAATTTATTATTTGTTCGGTTTACTCTCGATACTGTTTGACGAGAAACTCGACTAGTTTCAAGCCATGCTATAGGCACATATTCAGGCTTGAAACTAAGAAAGAAAGAAAACCTATTATGTTTTTATAATAACTATCGTGAGACATACTAAATTAAGTAAAAACGCGGGTTACTCACGTGAATATACTGAGAAAAGCTCTACTAGTTTCGAACCACAGAGGGGTTCTTCCTCATGAGCAGCGTTTATCGCGACGTCGCCGCGACCGCGCACGCTGCTCATGAGGAAGAACCCCTCTGTGGTTCGAAACTAGTAGAGCTTTTCTCAGTATATTCACGTGAGTAACCCGCGTTTTTACTTAAAACCTATTATGGTGCGTCGCAGCGCAAAAGGCTGGAGCTCAGCTTAATACCGTGGACCGGGCACAGAGGCTCGAGCCCACGGCGCTGATTTCCAGCTCCAGCCCGTTATAGTACGGACTAGTTAAACACCTACGGAGGTTTAAGACGTCGCGGAGTCGCACCAGGAGTCGTGGTGGCCCGGAGTTTTAAGACGCCCGCTTCTCATGCATGAGGGTGCGGGTTCAAAACCTACCAACGGCAAGAACCAATATGACTTTTTCCGAGTTATATGTACTTTCTAAGATTATCTTGACACCACTGACAAACGGTGAAGGAAAAACATCGTGAGGAAACCTGAGCTTATAATTTCTAATTATAAGTTTGAAATCGCCAACCCACATTGAGCAAGCGTGGTGATTAATGCTCAAACCTTCTCCGTGTGAGAAGAGGCTTTGCTCAGTAGTGGGCATTTATAGGCTGTTGATGATGAAACACCTACGGTAACGCTGTTCGGAGCGCAGCATGATGTATATAACAAAAATTAAATAAAAGTGAATACAAAATCGACAGAAACGATTACTGCCAAAAATCTAGATAAATGCATACAAATTAGTCGAGTTCCTCACCAAACAGTAACGAGAGTAAGTCGAACACATAATAAATCCATGAAAGACCTGAAATAAGCTGAAAACATAATAATGAATTGATGACGATGCTACCCCCCAGTTGTTCGTCCGGGTACTACGGGTCGACGTGCGAGGTGGACGGGGAGGTGGTGGGCGTGGCCGTGGGGGCCTCGCTCCTCGCGGCGCTCGTCATTGCCATCACTCTCGCCGCGCTCATGTCCTGGAGGTAAGCACAGATAACTTAACATAACATCACGCCCTTTATCCCCGAAGGGGTAGGCAGAGATGCACATTACATCACTTAATGCCACTGTACAATGTAACACCCACTTCTCACTATTTATGTTATGAGTCCCATGTAATAAGCGGTGACCCTATTGCCATATACCGGGCACAATTCTAGACTCCGTGCTACTACTGAGAGTTTTGTAAACAACCCAGTAATACTATGCCCAACCCGGGTATGGATTTTAGTATTTATTTGTAAAGTCAAAGTCAAAGCATTTATTTCAATTAAACCATAGTTTGGTACTTTTGAAACGTCAACAAATACAAAATAAATAATAGTCTGTCAGTCAGTCCGTCAGTGAAGCTAGGTGAAGCTAGGTGCTCATTCCAAAACGTAGATTCGAATGGAGAAGAACGAGCAAGAAACTCCACTCGTTACTCTTTTTAAAAAAGTATGTTCTACAATGTCTCTGATACATATTTCAATACTGTACGCATATGTAAGAACAATGCAAAGACACGCTTGACGCATTATACTACTAACTTACTAAAATAAAAATAAAAATAATAAAGATCTTAAGTCTAACATGGTGCTCACATATGCATACTGACAATCCATAGAAATAGTGCTTCTATACAAGAAAAAGGAAACTCTTTGTTTCAATAAAGAAAGAAATGCTCGATGCCATAAGGAAACTAGATTGTCTACATTAGAATTAAAGTATTAAATTATGTATTATATTACCTACTATTGGAATTTAACTACTGACTACATTTGAGTATTGTCCAGTGGAGCCGAACCAACATGCTGCCAAGCATTCTTATCTTCAAGATAATCTGTCACTGTGTAGTAAGCTTGATTACATAATTCGCGCTTAATATATGTTTTAAATTTACTTTCATTGAGATCTAGTATGCTATTTGGTATTTTATTATAGCATTTAATACCTAACCCCATAAAGGATTTCTGTACTTTGGACAGTCTGAATTGCAGTACAGCTAACTTATTTTTGCCTCTAATATTAAAATTGTGTCTATCGCTTCTTTTTTCAAACAATTGCCTATTTTTCCTTACATACATTATATTTTCATATATATATTGACAGGGCACCGTTAAAATATTTATCGTTTTAAACAATTCTCTCAACGATTCGCAACGGCGTAAGTTACATATTGCTCGGATAGCCCGCTTAATTGTTGTATTATTGATGGTTAATATTAGACCCTGATTATATCAACTACGATAATTTATTTATTTGTCATGAATTTAATCAAGAAAGCAACACTCACTCGCACTCACTCACAAACTCATCCAACTAACTGACAAACTCATTTCACACTCACAAATCAATATTGATTGCACGGTTGGCCCAGTGGCTGGTAAACTGGCTGCTGTACAATGTATTACAAGTTCTTGTGCAGGAAAAAATGTGTGATCCACAAATATTGTTCCCGTTCTGAGTATCACGTATTTGTGATATTGTTTGTTTTAAACGCACCCAAGACATACGAGAAAATCGTAGTCAATCATTACTCACGTACTATCATTAACCATTTCACCCACTCACCCAAACTTACTCACTCACTCATTTGCTATCTATTTCAGCCGCAAATGGTCCCGTGAACAGAAGGCGGCCGGTATGGGGTCCCCTATCTTCAACTACATGGCTGCCAATACTATCAAAACACCGCCTGTTGGACAACCGCCTTACCAGGTAAATAGTTCGTCAGTCATTATATACATACATACATAAACTCACGCCTGTCACCCATGAGGGTAGGCAGAGACTATGAAACGCTAACTGCTATGATTCTTACATACCTTTTTCGCTTCGTCAAGAGTCAACAGAATAACTGTTGTTTTTCTGGGATAAGCCGGTAAACGAGCAGACGGATCACCTGATGGTAAGTAATCGGCGTCGCCCATGGACACCTGGAACACCAGAGGCGTTACAAATGCGATACCGGCTTTTTGGGGTATTGGAGATTTACTTTTCAGGCAATAAATTATTATAGTAATTAAAAGTTAGGAACTTCGAACTCGGAACTTAATGTTTTTATTACTTCCACTGTATCATCATCAATCATCATCTCATTTTGTCATCAATAATAATCTTTATCAATACATAGTATAAAACAAAGTCGCTTTCGCTGTATGTCCGTATGTATGTTTAGATCTTTAAAACTACGCAACGGATTTTGATGCGGTTTTTTTTTAATAGATAGAGTGATTCTTAAGAAAGGTTTATATCATGCATATTGCACCCGTGCGAAGCCGGGGCGGGTCGCTAGTTGATGATAAAATGAGCAAAATACAAAATATTATCCTAATAAGCGATGTAGACCTTATACAGTTAGATGCCTGTACTAGGAAAGCCCTGTATCAAAATCAGAATCAGAATCATTTATTTGTTAAACATAGGTAGTTTACATAATAAGGTCTTACATATAAAGATAGTCCACTATCTTTTGCCGTGATAGACATACAAATATGTTAGGTACATACATTTGAACATTATTAGAATATTACAATTTGAGTTAAAATTTTTATCACAGACTTTATTGTCTTTTTTATATTTTACTAGCGACCCGCCCCGGCTTCGCACGGGTGCAATATGCATGTATTATACATACAAACCTTCCTTAAGAATCACTCTATCTATTAAAAAAAACCGCATCAAAATCCGTTGCGTAGTTTTAAAGATCTAAGCATACATACGGACATACAGCGAAAGCGACTTTGTTTTATACTATGTATTGATTTATGCTGCATCGTGATGATGTAGTGACAAGGATTGAAAAGGGAATGTTACGCTGGTTTGGACATGTAGAAAGGATGGATGAAAGTAGAGTAACGAAAGAAGTATACAGAGCGGATATGGATGGGGCCGTCGGTACAGGGCGCCCTAGACGGACATATAGTAACCAGATTGGCGATATATTAAAGAAGGGCCAAATTAAAAGTACCCTTAACCGACGAGCATGCATGAAAAGATTGATGACTGTTATTGAAGCGAAAGAGATATGTAAGAATCGTAGTTTCTAACTCAGTACTTGAATTGGAATCAAATTCATATCTAAAATTAAACTCAAGGCATACGAGTTCACTCTCAGATTGTCAGCTACACAATGAAAATCTATAAAATGTTTGTCGCTTTACAATACTGTCGAAGTAGTTTCTTTTCACATGATGACTGAGTAGTTGGCGCGGTAGCTGGGCGACCGGCTGCCGCGCAACGTGCAGTGGGTTCGATTCCCGCACGGAACAACACTTTGTGTGATCCACAGATTGTTGTTCCGGGTCTGTGTGTCATGTGTATGTGAGCTTGTATGTTTGTAAACGTACACACGATACGGGAGACAATCCTAGTATGGGGCAACGTTTTAAAAATATATTTATATTGGTTTTTTTTTTCTTCTTTTTCTGTTGTTATAACTGTTTGATTCTCTTTGATTTGTCTTTGTATGTGTGTTAATGTAATTGGTGTAAAGCCGTGTTAACATCATAATAATAATAAATAAATAAATAAATAAATATTTCGTGTAATTTTCAGGTGACTCTAGAAGAACGGATGCGGTGGGCGCAGATAGCTGAAGCAATGGCGCAGGCTAGCCATTATGCTGTAAGAAATCATAAGTCATTAATTATTGTACAATTATATAATTATGTGACTGACTGCCTTCTTGACCGAGTGGTCGCAAGACTGGGCGGCAAGGGGTTTCCGGTTCAATAAAATTATTACTGGGTTTTCAGAAAATCTCAGTAGCATGGAATCTGGAATTATGCATGGTATATGGCAATAGGTTCACCTCCTATTACATGGGACTTATAACTAAAATAGTGAAAAGTGGGTGTTACATTGTATAGTGACATTAAGTGCCGTAATGTGCACCTCTGCCTGCCCCTCGGAGGTAAAAGGCGTGATGTTATGTTATATAATTATTATGTCATGAACAGTGAAGAATTATGTCAATGATCTCATTGATAAATTTAAATTTAAAATTTCAGTTCAGTGATGTCATCCAAAATTCAATTTACAATCAAAATATAATCGGCAATTTCATTAGTTACATATATGTTTAAATGGTTCTCGTACATCCGCATGTAGTACCAAAAGAGTATTTTTTTTTGTGAGGGGAAAAAATCATTCTATGACTTCGTCCTACTTGGGAGAGTGTGTAGTCGGAGCCCCGGTCACCCGTTAGGTTCTCCGCGACTCCGAATCGGCATCGGTCCTATTGGGCCCCATCTGTGGTGGTCTGATGGCTCTTTGAGGCGCCGTACGCTCGGGTATGGTTCCAGTCGGACGGCGAGCTACTCATACTTGCCCTTACCCTTAGACCCGTACTTACGTTGAACTTTTATTATTTACGTTGAACTTTTATTATTTACGTTGAACTTTTATTATTTACGTTGAACTTTTATTGCCTGAGGTACAGGTTTCAAACCTAGTTCACGCACATGGAATAACATAGCAATAAGAATATAGAATTAAGACATACGAAATTTCTGTTTATATTTTTTTTGAATAAATTATTTATTATTATTATTATTACTTTGAACAGACAAATTACAATAATAAATTATGATCTTATAACATCTTGCTCCAGCCGGAACCAGCTCAGATGGCGACGCGTCCATCATCGGCTATGTTTGGAGGATACCCCACTCTGCCGCCAGTGCCGCTACCCAGGTAATTATTTACTTTAATACATATTTTTTTGTTTACTATATCTAATAAGAATTGTTAATCCTTTTTTCGATGTGATGATGATACGAATTCTATGCGTGTAAATAGTTATTTTTAGTTTTATTTTAATTATATTTCATCTTAAACTGTATATATTTAATTTAGTAATAGTTAGTTTTAATTTTGCTCTCTAAG